GGGTGGGGTGTGTGTGTGTGTGTGTGTGTGTTACCTGTGAGACGCTGCTGTTGGCATTAGCTGGCAGATCCTTCCCTAGGAGTGAGGGGACCTAAGGGAAGGAACTTGACTGGGGGGCTTCTGCCCTGGACCATAGTCACCGGCAGCAAGAGTGTTCACAAGCAGCAGGCCTCCTTACTCAGGGGGATGTAGGGTGGCGAGATCCCAGTGGTGTTTTGGTTTTTGGGGAGCACTCTGTGGGGTAGACGAGAGTACCTATCCCGTGAAGATCTGCCGTCTTGGGGACTCCCGAGAGCAGTTCTGCTCAGTCCTCTAGGGCCTGTGTGAGCCGGAAGCGACTTGATGGCAGTGGGGTTGCATCATCTGGCTGCCTCGAACCCTGGTCTGCTCTCTCCCCTTCTCCAGTTCTTTGTTAACAGGGAGAGGAGGCTGGAGCAGAGGCTCCGGGCCTAGACTGCTTTGTGTGATGGGTTTCTCTTCTTGGTGGCAGCAAGCACTCTGAGGTCCCCTAAACCAGGCTGTCCCAGACAAGGAGCAAGATGCCAGGTCGCCCTGGAGCAGTTTCCAGCTCTCTGTCACTTCCCAGGTCCAAGGAGCCCCTCCCAACCCCTGCCTCCCACATGAGGACATGGGGTCTCTGAGCTGTCTGAGCCCCAACCCAGCCTGTGAACTGGCTTGACCAGGGAGGGGCCAGGTGCCTCAGCGTCAGGTCCAGCATGTCTAAGGCGGAGGAAGGGGGCATCCTTATAAGGCCTGAAGATTCGAGAGGGGACCACCAGCTCCCCACTTGGTGAGCTCAGCGGGTGTCAGAAGGACCCTGCCCTAGGGCAGTGCTCTGTGCGGTGATTCTTGACTGACCAGGCGCTCATCACCCACCTGTCCGTACTGATGCTAATCAGGAACTGCCCTAGGACAGCCCTGAGTGACTCCATATGGTGATCACATGGTTACTTACTCGCTGAGGCCACTTGCCAAGGAGAGCTGTCCCTCGGCCAGAGCTGCCCGGTCCCTGAGACACGGTCTCTGTAGGAAAGGTGGGCCACATGGCGTTCCTCCCCGGGAAGTCCAGTTTGCACAGGTCAGGCTGTCTGGGTGTGGGGTGGCTTTCTCATACCGTCACCACCCACCTGTGGGTTTTCACTGGCGCTGTGTTCCAGCCAGTGGCGCCCTCTGCTCTTGGTTCGTGTGAACTGGTCTCTGCCCTGAGACAGCCTGTCCAGTGGCCTGGGGACGGAGGGGGACTGTGCTCCTTGGTACACAGAGTTTAGAATAGCTCTCTCCCTGAAGGCAGACCCGCTGAGACCCGAAGAGAAGCAGGCGTTATTGGGGGGGGGGGGGACACGGCGCTCCAGCCAAGATATGGCCAGGCTGTCTGCAGGCCACTGGGAAAGCCTTTGGCCTCTGCCTATTTTCTGGCACCAGTCTCCGCCTGGACCCTTTGCTTGGGGGAGCTTCACTGTCTTGGACTTCTATCCTCTGACCACCCATGGGTGCACCAGCCTGGCATTAGTAGCTCGTGGCTGGGGTTTTTAAAAATCAAATCTAAGTCTTTATCTGTTAACTAGAGCCTATTATATTTACCATCGTGAAACTATGCATGTGTGTAGTAGACACACAATTGTTTAATATTTTATTTGTCCTGTTGTCGTTTTTCTTTCTTGCTTTCCTTGCCTCGGGTATAATGAAATTGGGTTTTTGTTTTTAACTTAAATATTTATGTTCTCTCTTGAGTGGGCAAGTACACACTGTTTTCTTCTCATGGTCGGTGTCGTACACATCTCATCTGGAGCCTCGGGCAGGGCGGGTCCAGGGACCCATAATGGAGTCCAGACCGGTGCCCAGCACAGGCGCCCCGTGTTCTCAGTGTCCTCCGGGTGGCTGTGTGTCCAGCCCTGCAGGGCTGCTCCCATGAGGGGTTTAGATCTGCGGTCACCCTCTCCTGCTTCCCGGAACCTCAGGCCCGTGGCCTCAGCTTCAGGCTCCCGCGGTGGAAGCCCCTGTGGTGGCAGAGCCTGGCAGTCTCTGGGTGCTCCTTTCCTCCGTCCCGTCCTGGAAGACGGTCCTGCTGCCTGGGACTTCCCGCTTGATGGCTCCATCCTGCCCCTTCCTTTGCCTTCTGCTGGGAGGTCAGCTCTCCGCCTCTCCTGTTTATCCCCCGTCCCTCCCCTCCTGCTCGCCTCCCCTGGCGCTCTCTTTCACTCAGATGCCCCTTCTCCGACTCTGAGGCCTTCCTCCCTGTTCTCTCCTGTCTCCAGCTGCACTCTGACCAGCGCCCGGTGTCACCTTGCGGCCTCTGTCCACTGAAATGGACCACACATTCTCACTGCGCAGCCTCTGCCCCGTGCCCTCCTCCATAAGGGGTGATACCTTCTGAAGAGTCTTGCTTGGGGTGGGGCTGGGGGTACTGTGAATGTGCCAGCTGCCAGCCCCTGATGAACAGATTTTGTTCCCAAAGCAAAGCTTTGTCGTTGCTCCTAGCCCTTGACCGGATTTGAACAACACCTCTCTCCCTTCCTCCCTCCACTCCAGCTGAGTCAAGGGTGCTGTGGGAGGGGCAGGGCATCTTGGCTGGAGGGCAGGGCAGCGCCTGGGAGGCGGGGTGGTTTTGTGATGGTCAGAGGGCGGTGGCAGCTTGTTTGACACGTTCAGAAACCTGCCCCTGTGAGTTCTAGGGCCTGTGACGGTGGACTGAGCGGCCCCATTTCGCCATCATGGGATGTGGGACAGTGTGCCTGCTATGCCTCCTCAGTCTGCCATGCTGGTTCCTCCTTAGTTGGGTGGCCAGTGACAACAGGCAGTGTCCCCATACAGCTTGCATCTGCTCTCCTGACATGCCTTGGACGTGGGACACCACCCTGGCCCAGGCTTTTCCCCGCCGCACCTCCCCCTGGGCTCTGAGCTAAAGCCAGAGGCCTGGAACCCTCTGGGCCTTGGCCATGTGGGCTGCTGGCTTCCCCGCTGTGTCCTGCTGGACGAGAGGGAGAGCCTGTCACTGGTGCCGGGCCCCTGAGCCCAGAGTAGCAGAATCAGAGATCTGCTGGCAGGTTCCTGGGTGTGGGTGGCACAGGGCCGCTGTCCTGGAGGTGGGTGAGCAGGTTCTCAGTGCTGGCATATCCCCACCCACACACATGCCCTCTGACCCCCTGACCAGACTGCACCGTTTCCATTGGAAGAATGTTAACGTTTCTACTAAGCTGATCTGTGTAACTTCCCACCCAAATCACAGTTTGTATATGTGACGTCGTCGAGTAATTAGTGTTTGGTTTTAGAATGTGTCTGTGTAAATAACAAAACGGCCATTTCAGCTATGTGGGTGAGCAGGACCCACCTGAGCTGCTTCTTGAAGCTTAGCGGGACCCTCTCCCCCATGCTGGTTCTGGTCCCCTGGAGCTGTGTGACCGTCACCAGGGCTTCTCAAAGGTCTTCACCCCTTAGCAGGACCCCTCCCTCCTCTCTCCCTCGCTCTCTCTCTCTCTCTCTCTCTCACACACACACACACACACACACACACACACTGGTCTAGGTGCCTGTGCATTCCAGGTGTCCGTGGGTGGATCAGGGCTACTCTTCTCTGCCTGTGTCCACTCTGGGTGCCCCCTGCCCGCTGACTGCACATCTGACTGCTGTCCCCTCTGGCTTGGGCCGCATGGGCAGTGCCAGGCTGCAGCTGAGCCCTCACTCGTTTGCTGGGGGTAGCCCAGGAGATGGCACCTCTGCGCCATGCAGTTCCCTGGGCCCTGTGGTGCCCTGTGGAATCTGCCTTGGGAGATGACGCCCCAAGACCAGCCGGCCTGCGGGGCCCCTGGGACAGGGCTCTGCTGCTTCTCCTGGCAACACCGGGAAACGGGCACAGGCGGCCTGGCCTGGCCCTGCCCGCTCCGTGTTGCAGGGCCCAGGAGGCATGGGTAGAGTCCCCCTGGGGCTTCTCGCCCACTAGGGCAGAGGTCACACAGACTCAGCAGCATGGGGGGCACCATGGGACACCCCACGTTGGGACTCTCCAAACCAGCTCTTGGAGCCCATAGGCTGTTAACCAGCTCCCTGTGGGGGGCAGGGATGTTCTTCTGGGCACAATGGGAAGCGGCTGGGACTGCAGCCCTTCGGAAGGGCGTTGGCCGGGAGATCTGAGAGGTTCTTAGCTATGTGGGCGGGCACACACGCCTGCACTGGGGGTGGCCTGTGAGGCACCCTCTGGCACCAGACTGGTACCTCCTCACCCAGCAACCGCAGCTGGACCCCCAGGCATCAGGTTGGCCTTTCTGGGGACAGCACTCAGAAGTCATGGTGGCCATGGTCATTTCACCCCTGGACCACCAAGTTCATGCCAGGGCTCTGCTGGCCAGCTGCCGCCCTCCTCGGCTGCCTGGAAGGCCAGGCCGGGTCGCCTCTGCTTAGGGCAGCCAGTGGCAGTGCAGGGCAGACACGGGCAGTCTAGGCCCCCTCCTACAGACCACACAGCAAGGAGGGGGGAGGTTCCACACCTGGAGAAGGCTCCCCCTCTGCTGAGCCCTCCTGTTCCCGAGATGAGGCCGTGGGCAGGCAGCCTCACACAGCGCCCTCCCCGGCAGGTGTACCTGGGTGAGCTTCCGAAGGACTTTCTGCGTGTCACGCCCACGCAGCAGCAGCAGCAGATCCAGCTGGACGCCCAGGCCGCGCAGCAGCTGCAGTATGGCGGGGCCCTGGGCACTGTGGGCCGCCTCAGCATCACCGTCGTGCAGGTAGGCCGGGAGGGGCCACGGAAGAGGGGCACAGCATCACAGAGCTTGTGCTTCTGCACCCCGTTGTTGACGGGCACCCAGCGTACCGCAGCCTCTGCCTACTGTTGAGAAAGGAACCTGCAGACCGCCCTGGCCGTCATCCGGGCTTCTGCCAGAAGTACATGGGACAGGTAGTGCTCAGCATCTCACAGGCCCTTGCCAGATCACACCCAGGCAAGAGGAGGGCGGCACCGTATTCAGAGGGACACCATGTGGCTGGGGAGGGCGGCGTGTGAGGGCTTCTGCCGGTAGCAGTCACAGTGAGCTGCTCTGAAAACAGAGACAGGCTGCCCCGCCGGGAACAGGCATCTCAGGGGCAGAGGGTCAGCCCCCACCGTCCAGCAGGCGCCCCTTCAGCTGGTGGTCTCTGCATACTCTCTGCTTTCTGCTGCTGCCCCCTTCCCCAGGGAAGCCTCCGTTCTTCCTGCACAGACCGCCACCTCCTGGCGAGTGGGGGCACTGCAGGGCACCTGCGCCCAACCATCCAGGCCAGGAGGGGTTTCACTCCACCTTAGATGGCCCTGGCTGCAGAGCCCACCTCATCTTCGCTCGGCTTTCCCAGGGGCAGTGCCCCTCATCTTCCACCCGCTTCCTTTTCTCCACGGGTGAGCAGCTCATGTGCACGGGCTCTGGGCAGCGCCTGGTGCTGGGGCAGCCCCCAGTTCCAGACTAGGATGTGCAGAGCACCATTTGGGGGCCTGACCAGACTAGCAGGCATCGCAGAAGTGCTGGGTCTGAGACAAGACTCTTGTTGGGCCAAGTCCTGCTTCCTGGTCTCTACAGGTGTACGCTCCGTCTGAGGAGCTCACACCTAGGCCTCTTTGACCCCGTCTCACACACCAGTCCCTCCACACGGCGCATGGTGGTGCCTCCCTGACCGGCCCCACTGTCCTTGAGCCCAGCGGAGCTTCCAGGCACTCCCGCTCCAGAAGGGCAGAGTGAGGCCCAACGTCCCCCAGCTCAGTGCTGCAGGTCTGCCCCAGGCCCCGTGCTCTGTCCAGGCCCCGAGCAGTGGGCCTGGGGGGGGACTTGCATCAGAAGTCCCACCTCCCGAGGCTCACAGGCCCACCCTGTGCTCACTCTGCCTCTCTTGAAGGCCAAGCTGGCTAAGAACTACGGGGTGACCCGCATGGACCCCTACTGCCGCATACGCCTGGGCTATGCTGTGTACGAGACCCCGACAGCACACAACGGCGCCAAGAACCCACGCTGGAACAAGGTCATCCAGTGCACGGTGCCCCCGGGCGTGGACTCCTTCTACCTTGAGATCTTCGATGAGGTGAGGGCCGCGGCTTGCTCAGCAGGGGGCTCCCCCCCGCCCCCCGCCCCCCGCCCTAGTGTGTGTCCCTGTGGGGCTGGGGAAGGCGGCCTGGCCCAGTGACCGGCAGGAGCTCTCTGGGGCGACAAGAGTGGCCTATCCAGGGTGTTGGCCATGCCCCGTGGCAGCCTGGCGGGGCCTGGGTGTGTACACATCAGACTGCCCACCGATGGGCAGGGCAGACGGCAGGATTGCCCGCCCATCCCCTCATGGTTCATCCGCATCATTGGGAGTCTGCACAGGGGCGAGGTGGGCCTCCTGCTCTGGGCCCAGATGTTGAGGCTTACTGGGGTGCAGGAGATGGGACCATGAGAGTCAGCAAGGCAAGGTGGCCTCCCCCTGCCCATGACTGGAAAAGCCCCACAGAGAGAAGACGGGTGGGGGCGAGTGGATGTGGCCTTCCACAGCCTTGGAGGCTCCCTGGGGTGACACAGAGGTGGGGTGCACAGCGATGCATTGCCATCCTCCCAGAGAGCCTTCTCCATGGATGACCGCATCGCCTGGACGCACGTCACCATCCCCGAGTCCCTCCGGCAGGGCCGCGTGGAGGACGAGTGGTACAGCCTCAGCGGGCGGCAGGGGGATGACAAGGAGGGCATGATCAACCTGGTCCTGTCCTACACGGTGAGGAGCATGGCGACATGTGGGGCCCTTCCTGCAAGGGGAGGGGACATCGGGGGCGGTTGTGGTGATAGGTGGACCCAGATTTACAGTTGATAATGAGTGCAGAACACAGACTGTCAGTCGTCCGTGCGGTCTGAGCCGGAGCTGAGCACAACGGGGGCTCTGGGCTCCTAGTGCCCACAGCCACATGTGGCTTCACGCATGGTGGGGTGAGACCAGCTTGTGGCCACTTCCCCGGTGACCCTGTCCCTCTGTCACAGGCACTGCCTGCTGCCATGATGGCACCGCCACAGCCCGTGGTCCTGCTGCCCACCGTGTACCAGCAGGGCGTCGGCTACGTGCCCATCACAGGTGGGCGACACCCCCCCACCCCGCCCCCGCATCCTAGGTGCCCCAAGGTCAGAGCACAGCCAGTGAGTGGGGCGGACTGAGTCATAAGCATTGCCTGTGATAGTCGTTTGTTTTGGACGCCCTCCTCTCTCACTTCATCTCCATGGTGTTCCAAAGCCCTCAGCATGTGTTGTCCCTGAGAGTTGTCGGTGGCAGGAGGAGGGGGCGGGGCGGGGGGTGGGGGTGTTAGGGCCTCGCAGGTAGAACCACTGGCTTGCGCTGACATGGTCCTCTGCCATCAGGGATGCCTGCTGTCTGCAGCCCTGGCATGGTGCCTGTCGCCATGGCCCCGCCGGCCACCCCTGCCCAGCCCCGCTACACTGAGGAAGACCTGCAGGCCATCCAGGACATGTTCCCCAACATGGACACGGAGGTGATCCGCTCCGTGCTGGAGGCCCAGCGAGGCAGCAAGGATGCCGCCATCAACTCCCTGCTGCAGATGGGCGAGGAGTCCTAGGGCCGGCCACCCACCTCCCCCCCACACACACACACAGGCGGGCCCCAGAGACTGCCCATAGACCCGTTGTGACAGACTACCCCTCCTTTCTGGCAGCATGCCACCCGCCGAGTGCCCCAGGTCGCCGGGTGCATGTGGGCTGTCAATGCTTGGTGGCTGGGCCTAGAAGGGCGTGGGAGGGGTGCTTTTCTTCCTTGTCCCGTGCTGGGCCTGGGGTGGGGCAGTTTCTGGCACTCGCTCGTGCTGTGCCCTGGCCAGGTTTTTGGTCCTTGCAGCCCACTGGCCTGTGGGGACATGTGCATAGCCTTCTGATATGGGGACCAGCATTGGGGTGTCTGTCTTGGTTGGGACAGACCTATTCCCAACCTGTAACCTGGCCCTCACCCCCTTTCCTGTCTTTGGGAGACCTGGCCTCCACTCTGCCCTGTTGTCCTTTAGAACCAGGTGGTAAGCCCTGCCTGGCATCCCTTCCCTGTCTGGTCTGGCCCAGCAATGCATGGAGGAGGGGTGGGGGCAGTAGGGGGGCTCTCTTGAGGTGGGTCCTGCAGTGAGTGCCTGAAGGAGAGGGAGGGACAGTAGCCAGTCAGCATGTGTCCATTAAAGGGCCTCAGCCATGCCAGCCCACCAATGACGTCTGTGTGGCTTCTGTGCGCCAGGCCCTACACTCAGGGTGGCAAGAGTAGCAATGCAGGGATCTGGCCCTCTACGCCCCTCCCCTCCCACTCCTACCCTGCCCCGCTCATGCAGGTCAGGGCGTGAGCCCCTGCTGTTGAAAATACTTATTTTCATAAGGCTGGAGGGTCGTGAGGTGGGGCCGCTCGGCCAAGGGGGACAAGAGTAACACAGAGGAGCTGACATAATGGGCAGCTCCAGTAGCCATGGTGCCAGGAAGGGGGACTTTGGAGACTGGCCACTGCCATGTGGGTTATCACTTGGGCCGGCTGGCCTCATGTGGGCTTGGGCTCAGTCCTCAGACCCTCTGCTGCCTCCTTCACGAAGGCTTTATTCCTTAGTCGGGAAAGGCCCTGCTTTGTGAGGTGAGCTGAGCTGCACCCCTTGTGTGCACGCTCGCCTCCAGGGTCCCTCCCCATGGATGCCCAGCGCTCCTGCCCACGCCCTCTGTCCTGCTGCTTCCTCACCTTGCTTTGACCGCGGGGCCACCTTGATCTGCTGCTGCCCCCGCCTCGCCTTGAAGTGCAGACACATCAGGAGGCCGAGTCCCTGGCACCTCCCCAGAGACCTCTGCGCCTGGTGAGGGGCGGATGGGATGGCAGCATTGGCGCAGCCCCCTGTGTGGCTGACTATCCTGGCTCATGGCCAGACTTCTCTAGCATTGTAAAATATATTCTAATTTAACAAAGACCCACATACAGAGAATTAAAGTCCATGGTGGTTCATGCGTGTTTGTTAACTTCGCATGTAGGGTCCACCCCAGACCCTGCCATTGAGTCCACTCTCACTCAGCGACCCTCCTGGGCTGCTGTGCCATCCCCACAGACAGCAGCCTCACCAGCCCCACACAGGAGGCTGCTGGCGTCTCCCTGCCTGTGCGTGGACAGCCATGCCACCGAGCAGCACAGGGTGACCAGGTCTGCAGCAACACAGCCCCCTCTGATGAGCCAACCACCGAGTGCAGACTTAGAAAACCAAAACTAGATCCCCAAAGCCTGGGAGGGGAGGCTGGCTGGTGGGCTTGTGGTTAAAATCTTGAGGACCCCTGGCCTCCTCAAGTGCCTCGGCAGGGGCTTCAGGTGTGAGGATCCAGTCAGGTCAGGAGGTAAGCAAACAGCCCTTTGCTGGGGAAAGAGGGATGTAAGTGGGGCCTAGAAATGGGCGACAGCATCCCCAATGGGCAGCCTCAAAGGTGCCAGGCTGGGCAACGTCTCCTTGCAGAGGCGCCAGGACCCTGGGCTCCCAGCAGCCAAAACAGGCCACAGTGTCCTTATTGTCACTGTGTTGGTGAACCTTCCAGGCCACGTCTCCTGGGAGTGGGAATAGAATGTGGCTTCCGAGCAGCGTCTAAAGGGGCCCAGAGCCAGTGCCTGTTTGCAGACCTTCCATGCAGCGCTACTGACTGGCTAGTACGAGGTCACCCCAGGATCGCCCTGGGTGGAGCGTGCAGGCCGTGTGCAGACAGCTTTGAGTGCCCTTGTCTCTGCTCTCGGCCTGTCACCTCACCTGCGGGCTCACCGATGCAGGCAAGCTCGAGGAGCCCCTGCCGCAGGGAGAGCCGGCACCACCGCACACGCCTGCCTTCAGTGACAAGTTAGCGTGAGCCCATCTGCAGGCCCAGAGCAGCCCTGAGTCTGCTCCCCAGAGGCCTTGGGGCCGGGAGCCTGCTGTCTGGGGGCAAGCTAACAGACCCTTGCTTCTGAAAAGCCATGGCGTGCCGAGGCGCAGGAGGCTCCACAGACGGGCTCAGCTCACAGTGGGGTGTCCCCAGGACGCCGCAGAGGAGGTGGGAGGCACGTCATGCGGTGCCTGCTAGCTCCCTGCCAGGTCAGGCACCAAGTGGCGCGTGCAGGATCACAGGTGCTGGAGCCCACAGCGCCTGGTGTCAGCCACCTTGCCAGTGGTGCCCAAGAGCACTGAGCCTGGTTTCCAGTCTGACCCTTAGCTGGCACAGCTGGCAGGAAGCAAGCTCACGGTCTTGTGGATGAACGCAGCCGCCACGGCGAGCGGGTGTGTGCCAGCAACCCAGACTGGCCGGAGGAAAAGCTGAGTCCCGGCAGCCACGTCAGGAGGAGGCAGCAGTGGCTACTGTGCTAGCGATATTCTGCTGCCCTCGAAGAACAAGCCTAGCCGCTCTCACGGGCTCTGACTCCAAGACCCCCCGAGGGCTGACAGCACCCACAGTCCCACCTCACTCCTCGCCTGCAGGGCAGCTGACCAGGTGAAACCACCAACCGTGTGCTTAGCACCCCCTGTGTAGCCCGCGGGCTCCTAGATGCCTTAACTCGGAGTTCTCCGCCAGGGCTGCTTGGGCGTGTCTGGAGACATGTTTAGTTGTCCAGGCTAAAGGGAAGGTGGGGGAGGGGAGGAGCACCGCTGAGTGGAAGCCAGAGGTGCTGCTGGACAGCATGACCCAGGGCCACCTGGCCTCAGATGCGTGCTGTTCCTGAGAAGCGTTCTCTGAGTAAGAGCAGGGGTGCATGCCACAGGAACTCGGGGGCCGCCAAATCTAGACTTCAAGGGGTATGCTAAAATGTGCCGCCTCCCCCCTCCTCCACTGTTAAATGGCACAGCTGCACCTCTTAAGGCCAGTGGCCCCCCCACTCCCTAGATCCCAAAAGCAAATTCCAAGGCAGGCAGGAGACAGGCAGGGCTCCGCAAACCACTTCCTGAGTGCATGGCCTGCAGGCCCCGGGCGGCCCCCGGAGCCTGTGCAGTGGACATCCTGGGTCCGGTCAGCCCCTCCCTGTGGCCAGGGCAGGGCATTCTTCTCTTCTAGGTTATCTCCGAAGCCTGGCCTTCCGCTGCTGCTGCCTGCGGCCGCCTTGCTGCAGACAAACGGCAGAGGTGGGGGTTAAAGCGCAGACAGGCAGGAGGCTTCAAGTCCAGGGAGTGGCCCTGGAGACAGTGACCGCCCCACCCTCCTCTGCCCGCGACTCCGTCTGGGACACTCATCGATAGCTCCCGAGGCAGACCCTCCTACTTGGGAATGGTCTCTTTAATGTAACAAAAAGTGGTTTCCAAACAAGATGGCAACCGTAGGTCCAGGGCTAAGGAGTCTCAACACATTTTGGGGGACATACTTTAATCCACACCACCCTGCAGCTCAGTCTACATTTAAAATCTGAGGCCCTCAAATGCCGGAACAAGTCAGGCTGCCCCCACACTTCCTTACCTTGAGCACAGGGAGCAAGTGGGCACCACCCTTCTGCGGCCAGGACCTTGGGGTGTCCCCTGGACTCTGTTGGCGTGAAGCTGGGGCAGTCAAGGGAATGCCAGCCACCGTGCTGATCACCTTGTGGTCATCACTTGTAGGACTTGGCTCACGGGGGAAGGTTTCCTCAGCAGCTTGCATGAAAAACACCCGGCTCATGAGTGCCCCGAAAACTGACCCCGCATCCGTGCCCACCCAGCAGGTGGTTTTGTGGGGACCGTTTAACAGAAGACGAAATGCCCCCTCTGCACCCATTTGTAATCTTGTCCTTAAGGGACACTTACCAGCTACACTGATGACCTATATGTGATCGCCCAGATTAAAGCAATAAACCTCATCCAGGAGAAACTGGGAAATGGATCAACTGAGAACACAAAAGCCATTGTTGGCTCTCGAGGGAAGAAATGCCACGTTTCCCCACCCAGACGGGTGGAGTGGTCCCCATGGTGCTGCCCTTCCTTTCTATTGTCATACTGGGTGAGGGTGCCCCAACAGCATCACGAGGGAATAGGGGTGCAGACCACACCCTGGCACTATTAGAGGGTGATGACAAAGGGGCATCAGGGTCCCGGGCAAACTAGCATCACAGGAGGGGGGTCACGGCAGGGGCGCTGTGCCAGGCTGGGCTGTCCTGAGAAGCCAGTGGCACTGAGATGGGTGAGAAAGCTTTCGATCACAACACAATTGTACATCTCCACGGCCTCCCAGCCCTGTCCCAGCTCCAGTCCCTGCGCCCGATGCTGGGAGAGCCCTCTTCAGACCCCTCCCCGCCCCCGTAGCCACAGCTCGAAACAGGTGAAGTGGGGAGCAGGGAGGTCACAGGTCCGTGGGTGCAGAGCTGCCTGGCTCCAAATTCGGGGGAACGTGGTGGGGCACTGACAGTTCCTAGGGTCAGTGGCCCACATGGGGCCTCCCCTGGCAGTTGACGCAGAGCCCAAGCAAGCAGGAGGGTGAAGGGCAAGAGAGAGGTCCCATGCCTTATAACTGATGCCCTCACCTGTCCGCCAAGGTGCGGGTGGGTGGCCTTGGCGTCCACCACTGGGCAGAGAGGAGGGTTGCCTTTTGGGCAGGAGGAGAGAGGAGAGCCATGGGGGCCAGGTGAGACTGGGCTACTACACCTCTGGGGGGCAGTGTTCACTGCCCAGCCCCATGCACAAAGGGGGCAGGGGGTGATACCGTAAGTTACCACACGAGGTAACACCAATGCTAGTTAGAAACACGCTCCCACTCCAGTGTGACTGCCTATCAACCACTCATACCTTCAGGACCCTGTTGCCAATAGTCATGTCCACAGACGGGTACCAGGGGTCAGGGTTCCAGCATAATATGGGAGGGACACAATCCAGTCAGTACCAGTCTTCTGTTCCCAGAATTTATGTCCTTCAAGCAAAATACACCCCTCCCATCCAAGCTTTCCCCAAAGCTTTAGCCTGTTCCAGCATCAACCAAGTCCCAACTCACCTGAATTAGTTCTGGGTGAGATTCTGGGGCCAGTTCCGTCCGGCTGTGTACCAGAGACACCTAAGGTGTGAACTATCTGCAAGCATAGGGGACCACAAGTGTCCAGGAGGCTTGAAGCCCAGCATGTCTCAGCTTGAAAACACTGCCTGTGGATGAATGTTGATCCAGACTCTGGGTGGCAGCAACCCTGTCTCAGCATAGAGGAGGTAGTCCTGCCCCCTTGCCCCTTGCTGCCAGCCCTGCTGCCTTCTGGCCCACTCTCTGGTTTACATGACGGGCATTTGCTGCCAAATAGTTCCACCGACCAGTTTCCAGCCAGCAGAACCCAAGGGCCCAGCAGCCTTGCCTCATTTTGTCCTGTTCCTGTCCCCCTTCTGCGTTTGCTGGTACCGCTTTTGCTGAGATGGTTGATTGATTGGACCCATCAGTCAGGCCTCATCTCTGTAGCAAATGGGCCATCGAGCCACAACCTGGGGGAGTCCTCAGCACACGCTCGCACAGTGGTGACATTGTGCACAGGCGGAGAACTGTACATCTCCACGTTCCGGATCCTTTTTGCATAGTTCATTCTGTAATTTATCTCTCCCTGCTCAAGAAATCCCTTCAGCTAGATACCCAAGTTCACGACCCACAGGTTGCACAACTTCCCACCCTAATGTGACTCAGACACGTTCTTTGCCACTTTATAATGAGGCCCACCTTTCCTCGTGGTCCAGTAAAATGTTCAGCATTCCCATTTAAGACTTCCCCAGAAGCACATTTAATGTCCACAGTTCTAACAACATTAAAACCCACTGCTTGTTGAATCAAGTCTAACTTACAGCCACCCGCCCCGTGGGACAGTCTTGCTTGGGGCTTCTGAGGCAATCTCTACAGACGCAGACCGCGCTTCCTGGCTCCCACGGAGGGGCTGGTGAGTTCACATGGCTGACCTCTCCTTCAGCAGCCCAGTGCTTAACCCACTGCTCCACCAGGGACCCTCTCTGACGGGGAAGAAAGGAACGAGGTGTGTGCTTGTCATGGCAGAGAGACACGCTTACAAAGAGGGAA